TGGTGTTCCTCTCCATAGCAGCACCAAGAGACTATCGGGCTCAGCTGAGGCCTATTGGAGGCTTGGACAGCATCAAACCCAACCTTAAATGCAGAAACACCCAACCCTGGAAGCTTATCTGCAGAGAAACTCCAGATGTAGCACCACCCGAAGCCAACCACCCACCTGCTGATGCCACAGACAGAGCCAGCCGAGGGCAAATGCAAGCGCAGAGGAAAAGAAATGAAGGCTGCCCTACCCCCTCTGCCCGTTGTAGGACTTTGAAAACCTCCTAAGACAAGCATGTCAAACTCAAGGCCCGCACATTTTTGTGGCCCAGCCAACACAATGGTATATAAGAAACGTTTTAATAAAAATTTTGTAACTTTTACAATATACATAATTATTAATAACAAACTACAACGAATGAATAAGATTTAAGTTTATGTGAACCTCAAAAAAACAAAAGCTTCAATTAACAAAAGCTAATGACTTCTATAATCGTGCTGCATTCATTTCCCTTACACGCCTTACGCACAGGCGCACCATTTCTCTCCACTATTACTAGCAGCGAATATTTTAGCAGCCGATTGCCATGTCATTAGTCTTGGACTGACTTGTTTGGTGTGCGCAACAGTAAATATTTCGCTTTCGGAGAACAAGAAAAATAGGTTTATTTGCGTTACACTTATTAATTTGCGAGTTATTCAGTGTCTGGTAAGTTAACGTTCAAGGAAAAACATTAACTTTTATTTAAACGTTCTATTATCCTAACAGTTATTTATTTCAGCCCTTTGTGTATTCAGCATGTCTCTATCGAAATAAATCTACATTTCTATGAAAATTGAAGCTTTTGTTTTTTTTTGAGGCCCACATACACTTACACCTTATTTGGCCCATGTCAGCCTCTGAGTTTGACATGCTTGTCCTAAGGGACACCCAGTCCCCTTAAAGAAAGGTGTCAGTTAAACACCAAGCCCGGGTACAACAGGCTCAAGCAAGTGGTACAGACCGAGACCTGAAAGCCGAGGCTCACTTCTCAGCTAGTCCCCAGAACGCCCTGGCGCCGAAAGGAGGCTCCTAAGGGATGCGGTCCACACACACAAAGCCACCCCAAGTCTCAGGGTGGGCAAGGGAGATGGCCGGGTCGGCCCCGAAAGGCACGTCCCACCCGACCCGGAGTTACATCCAGGGCTGGAAAAGGCCGAGTCCAGCTTTACGGTGGGTCTGGCAGAGCCGGGAGTCCAGGCGAGAGCTGGCTGGGTAAGAAGGAAACCGCAGCCCCAAGGAAGCCGAGGGTCAGCTAACAGTGGTGCCAGGCAGGCACACTCCTGGTGGCTCGGAGCACACTTACCCCCTTAAGAGATTCGTATCTTTGTGACCGGGGTTTCTTGATGCCGTTTCTGTGCCATTTTCGCGCTGTGGAGAAAGAAAGGAATGGCATCAAAATAAGGTTTCCTCTGGTCTAGTGAGACCCCTCAACACCACAGCTGCCAAGCCTGGGGAACCCCTTACCACCGAGCACTGCGGGGATCCCCGCGGACCCGGGCCTTCAAAATCCCAGAGGTAATGCGGTAAAATCAAAACCGGCCTCGGGCCGCAGACATGTGCCCCTGCCCTGCCCGGGATCCGTGATCCTCGCCAGGGTGTGGGGCGTGAGGAGCCGGGCCGGAGGCACTTACACTGGTTGTGCGTGGTGTGGTTCTTGGACTTGGCCATCTCTGCACCTGGAAGACACGAGAGGAGGTCAGGGCCGCGGCCCC